ATAAAAGGTTGTTGTTTTTTTTCTCAATGTGAACATCCTGTTGTGAATGGTGCATGAGCTTTCCTTTTCCCAGTAGGACTTCTAATGGAGAACCACACTCCAGCAGACAAGAGATGCAGAGGTAAAACTTGAGGAAAGCAGCCTGGGAGGAAATCCTCCTCCAGATTCCCTTGGAGCCTGAGAAAGGGTACTGGTTGCCAGAAGGCGGAGGAAGGGGCAAGGAGGGGTCTCACAGCCAAAGACCAGCCTGTAGCGTGGGCCAAGATTTGGCTAATTGTGGATTGGGACAGGGTAAAGAAAAACAGGTCTCACAGAGGAAATTCCCTGGCACTCATAAGGCACATTTTCACTCAGTCATGGGCATGATTAGGAAACAGTTTAGAAGCCATGACTAGCATTACCAAGGAGAGCTGGGTCCAGGGCTAGGAGGCAAGACTTCACGTTAGCGGCACTGGTATTTCTGGGACCAGAGATTCAGACTCTCACACTATTGGCTTGACCTGTTACTTCCTCAAATGTTTTCCTCGGCTGCTCACTGATGTCTGACATTCATTTTAATGGGCAGCAAACTTTGCATTTAGGGAAAGGGGGGAGGGAAGAGAGGGGGAGGGAAGAGAGGGGGAGGGATGGAGAGGAAGGGAGGGAGGGGGGGAGGGAAGGAGGAAGAAAGAGTCCAGCCAGGCTTACCTGGCGTGGGGGTGGGGTCTACTATGGTATAATTTTGCTCAAGTCCATCCCAATGAGGAAATCAATTTTTTCCCTCACAGCAGCAATGGAATAATTTCAGATGGCTTTAAGGTTCCCCAGAATAGGAAACAGAAGGAAACAAGGCATTAACGAAGAATATGAAGGGGGTAGTAATGACAAGGTGGGGGGGCTCAAATTCTTTTGAGTTTTTGAAAGGCTCTCAAACTGCCATTCTGAAATGCAGTGCTGCCCTCTGCTGGCCACAGCGTGGTATAGCGCATCAAAACCAAGGATGCGTCCTAAGTCCTTTCCCACATTTGGGAAAGACTGAGGAAAGACTCTCACCGTGAGGCGGGAGGCAAATCAAACCCAGAACGATTGTCCAACCACCAGGAAAATACCTCAGAAAATACCCCCGAGTGTCTTTGGCTTTGAATTTAAGCAGGTATATCTAACTTCTCCAGCCTGTGCTTAGCGAATTAGGTCGCACCGGCTTCAATGTTCAAAGAACGATGGCTCAAAGCACCACCCACCCTACTGTGGGGCCATGGGCCCCTCCCGGAGCCCCCTTGGAGACTCTGCCCTGCTCTGGGGGGTGGCGGCGCGTGGTCTGGGGCTCTGGGCACCCTGGAGAGTCCCCCATGCTCTTCTCTTGACTCCTGGGCCCTCAACAGCTCCTGGCCAAAAAGCCCTTTGATGGAACTTTCCTCTGGCTACATTGCTGACCCTGGCACTGCTGATTCCCGACTCGGCCACAGTTGCCAAGCCCACAGGTGCCAGTTTCTGTGCAGAGGACAAGGACCCAGCAGAGAATTGGGATTTATTCAGATACGCTTGTATGACCAAGTAAGTTAGATGCTCTTAGTTGCCGGGTAATGCGTTTGGGTATTAAAACAAGCTACTACGCTTAGGGGCTTTTCTTTACTCTTGTAAAACCAGATCTCTGCAAATGGATCAGTAATCCAAATAGAAAACTCTACTGCCAGTATTTCCTCTCTATTCCCTTATAGGTTTAACTCAAAACTGCTTTCATTTTCTTTAGAGGCTTTTGAAATCTTCCATAATGAAGTATGGGTACATATTCATCCAGTCCCCTGGGGTAAGAAATGGAGCCTCAAAGAGAAGGTATTCTACACACAATTCCTCAGTAATCAGTGGTATTAAGTATTAGAGTTAAACTGATCCTTGGAGAGAAAAAAGAAAGTGTTTATGGGTTTATAGACTTTTCTCAAAGGCACACTGGGAAACATGAAACATGGGTCTGATTTCAGAGGCTGGCAGATGGAAGCATATCCAGTTTTTAAAAGCAATCACCAGGCAAGTTATTATATCTGACACAAACAAATGAGGCCCCCAAGACCCTGAGGTGCTTTTTGCATCTGGAAGAAGCTGATGAGGCAGCAGTGATCCGAATCTGAAGATGCTCAGGTGATACTCCTGAGGCCTTGCTGCATGTTTCTATTACTGTAATGGGGAGCCTCACACCTCTCCTAATACCAGTCTGAGGACTCATCCCAGCTCTGATAGGAGCTACTGGGAGCAACAGACTTTGCAGAGGACCTAAACCATAAGATACATGTGTTGAAAGTTGTCGCCTAGATGGTTCCACAGGTTGCAACCAGGGTGGTCACACAGGCCCCACGCTCAGAAGGGTCCCACTCGGAGGGGTCTGTACTCGGGATTAATGCTCTGTGGCCACTGTCTTGCTACTTTGACCTTTAATCAGTTTAAGAATTATTAAACCAGATAATTTTAAGAATAATTTTACCAGGGGTGCCTGGGTGGCTCAGTCGGTTAAGCATATGCCTTCGGCTCAGGTCATGATCCTGGGGGGAGTCCCTGCTCTGCAGCAAGCCTGCTTCTCCCTCTCCTGCTCCCCCTGCTAGTGTTCTCTCTGTCAAATAAATAAATAAAATCTTAAAAAAAAAAGAAAGAAAGAAAGAAAAGAGGCCTTGATACAGAATTTCTCTTCCTGGGATAAAATACCTGCACAATATGAACCTCTGTTGATTTGTCTCCCCAAATCCCAAGTGGCAATAATTTCAGAGACTTACTCACAGGGAACATGCTGATAGTTGATCAGAATGTCCCATAGTGTTCACTGTGCCCACGCCACCTTCCTCCCTGCCTGTCTAATGCCTACCCAGCTGGTCTCCACTGTCCCTTTAAGCCCTGAGCACCCTGAGCTTTCTCTTCTGAACTCTCACAGCATGGACTGGGACTCAAACTTTTCTAGGTGTGCTATTATTTTAGCATTTGCTGTGTGGGCTTTAGAAGCTCCTTGCTTCTTTGAGATCAAGGACTGTGTTTTTCCCCTACCTTGAATTGCTCTGAAGGCCAAGCCCAGGCCTGGACACCAAGTACTTTGACTTGCTGCAGCCACTCAGCCTTCCACACTGTTCCTCCATCACCCTGGACCTGTCCCTTCCACAGGGCCTTTGCGCTTGCTCTCCCCCCTGTCTGGAAAGACCTTTCCCCAGCTCTCTGCAGGGCTTGATCCCTCCTCTCTTTTAGGCCTTTTGCTCAAATGTCACTTCATCAATGAACCTCTCTCTGACTACCCTGGTGAACATTCCAAACCTTCTCTTACTCCTGTTGGTCCCCATTCCCATTCCCCAACTTTATTTTCCTCCAAACTGCTTTCACCATCAGGCATACTAAATATTACAGTTATTTGCTTATTGCTTACCTTCCTTCTCCAGAAAGGACATTCTAGAAGGATGGTGATTTTGTCTGTTCGCTGACATATTCTTACCATCTAGACCAATTACGGGCACACAGCAGATGCCCTAACAAAACGTGTGGAATTAAACAAAGAACATGTTCCACAGATTCTTATTTATTTCAGTTTAAGTCCCACTGCATGGTTTGTGGTTCATGGAGGATACAGGCCCTGTCAGGGTCAGAGAATAAGGGAGTAACTCGGGGGATAAAGAATCCTTTCTCTCTAAAAATTAATCTGCTACTTATCTGAGTTCCTGGATAGTCATATGGGGTCTCAGTCAGTGTAAGCAATGTGCCCTTGTGCTCCAGACCCTGTTAGCGCCGCTATTTGGGGCCCTGTGCCGGGGAGGCCAGAGGCACATGTCCTCTGGCTCAGTTCCACAGTCTAGCCAGGGAGCGGGAAAACAGAATGAGGAAATGTGGACAAACTGCGAGAGGGCAGAGCTGTATAAATGTAGACCTTTGCTCATTTGTTCCCTCCTTCAGTAACTGATGTCCTGCTGGAGCCAAGGAGGCCTGTTCTGCTGCTGAGCAAGTTGGAGATCCTTCAGTTCTAGGAGCCACTTGACCACCAGGGCACAGTGTCCCACAGGAGCCACGAGGGAAGGAGCTATGGGCTTCCAATGAGGCCTGGCTGCATGGGGGCCTTTGAGTGGGCTCCGCTTTAAGGGTAGCATTTGGCTAGAGGAGACTGCAGGAAGCGCAATCCAGGTGGGGAGAGTGGCAGGCTCAAAGGCCACCTGCAGGAAACCTCCAGGAGCAGTGGCTCTTGGGAGGGGGTGGGGGAGCTAAGGTGGAGATGGACAGTGGCACCAGGTGGAGGGGACATGGGCCACCGCCAGCTCGGGGAGTTCAGGTAATGAGAGAGGACTCCGGTAGGTTTCTGAGGGGGAGTGGGACATAAAGGTGTGCGCTCTTCCAAGGCAGCATGTAGCAGCTGCTGAATCAAAAAGGACCGTGTAGGGGTTCCTGGCCCTCAGAGATGGACTTCAAGAGTCCACAAATCCTCTAAATTTGTAGGCACAAGTTTTTGTCAGCAGTTTCCAAAGCTCAAGAATGACTGTGTGGTGGGCATTATTGATGATCCTCCCAGGCTTTGTGTCTACCCCTTCCTCACACAGCCCACATCTGGCAGGGGAAGGGGACCCCAGCCCCAGCTCCTGGGGTCCCCGGTCAGCACAGCCAGTCAGCACCATCGCTGCTTTCACGGGGGCCCCTGTGCCCTTGAGCTGTCCAATTAGGGTGACTCTTAGGATTCTTGCTTCTCATGTTGGGCTGGACCTGTTTCCTCTCTTCCTGGGGACATTTACGGCCCACCTGAACCATCTGGCCACCAGGCTGGGGGTGTGAGCAGATCAGGGAGAGAGGATAGAGCCTAGGGAACTACAGATAAAGGGAGCCAGACCTTGATTAAAGCAACTCTGAAAGGCAAAACCCCCTACATGATTTTTGGGGCACTTAGGGACAAAATCAGTAGAGACCCTGCGGTGTCAAAGTATGAAAAAAAATGGAAATGCCGTTGCATGCAAACTTCCAACTGTCAATTATGCAGATAACACAAGCTATAAGCAAGAGCAAAAGCACGTTACCTCTGTGGGCTCCAGGTGGCATCAGCAGCTGACTCTCAAGAGCGTGGAGTTGGGGACTAGCTGGTGTTCTCAGCTTGTTCTGGAGGTCCAGGACCAAGCAAGCATCTTGTCTTCTTCTGCTGAAATGTGGATGGGCTGGCCCCAGCCCAGGGCCGGTTGTGAGTTCTCTCTTAATGCAACAGAGTGTTGGAGGCAGGTGCGTGCTCCCTGCACATTTGTAATCACAAGGCAGACACATGCTGCGCTGTCTTCTTAGCAAATGACTGAGAGCACGCGTGTCTGCCATGAGCGGAAGGGACTGTGAATCTAAGTCCTGAGAAGGGGAAACTGAAGTAGAAAAGGACTCCCTTAAAACAAACAAACCAAAACACCTGGCTTCCGCCAAGCAGATGCTCCTCTCCGGGTCTTCAGCTTCCAAGTTCCCCTTCTGGCTTAGCTGTGGCAAAAGATGGCTGAACCTGAAAGCGATTCTTCCTTTGCAAGTCAATGGGCAGAGTCTTAGAAGGAAAGGAAAAACAGAAGTACAGTTAAAACCCTTCTTTCTGCTTATTGGGAATAGTCCTGTACATTTCCCTTCCCAGAACTTTCCAGGAGAAGCCAATGGCTTCTTGGCCCCTGAAGGCAGATCTGGAAAGGGTTTGGAGATGGAGACAGAAAAGCAGAGCACATGATGGTTTAAGGCTTGGTACAGGCAGCTGTGACCTGGGAGCTGGGGCTGGGAGGAAAAATTGTTATATAATCACAGCTCACATTCACTGAGTGCCCATATGTGCTACATGCTATTTTATGTGCCTTTTAAAAAAAAGATTTTTTATTTATTCATTTGAGAGAGAGAGAGAGAGCACAAGTAGAGGGTAGGGGCAGAGGGAGAGGGAGAAGAAGCAGCAGGCTCCCCATTGAGCCAGGAACCCCATGTGGAGCTCAATCCCAGGACCCTGAGATCATGACCTGAGCTGAAGGCAGATGCTTAACTGACTGAGCCATCCAGGTGCCACTTATGTGCCCTACTCAAAAAAAAAAAAAAAAAAAAAAAAATCTTCACTATAGATACCGAAACTCAAGCATAAGCAATGTGTCCATGATCACTCGAAACTAGGAAGTGCATGACTGGTGTTGAAGCCCTAACGGTCAGATTCCAGAATCTTCACTTTGAATGCCAGGATGAGAAGGCCACCACCAAGGACACAGGCTACGGCCAGGAGTCCAGGAGGTGGGGCGGCATGAGCGGTACCTGTGGTCTGCAGAGGGCTTTCTGGTTACCCTTATTTGGGTCGATTTGGGGTTTCACAGAGCAGTAAGTTTCCCCCAAATTGAATAGTTACCCTTTTATTCTGTCAAGTGAAAACATTAAAATAAAAAAATGTTCTAACATCATTTCATAAAGTAAATGCAATTTCTTTTTTTTTTTTTGAAGATTTATTTATTTGAGACAGGAGAGAGAGAGCGAATGATAGCGAGCGCAAGGGGAGGGACAGATGGAAAGAGAAACTCAAGCAGACTCCTTGTGTATCTCAAGCCACTCACTACTCCACACTGAGCACACGGGGCTTGATCTCATGACCCTGAGATCGTGACCTGAGCCGAAACCAAGAGTCGAACGCTTAACTGACTGCACCCCCCAGGCCCCCAGATAAATGCAATTTCAATGCAAAGAAGGACACAGTCTGAGAATATAGGCCAGCCCTTCCCGTTGAATGAATCTACCTTTGTGAACACCTCCCTCCATTGTCCTCATTTTCCTCAGCTGACTGTGGGCTGGTGAAAATGTCCTCATGGGTGGCACCTGTCTCAGGAGCCTCATCTGGGGACCACTGCAGTGCCTCATCTGATCCTCATAAACCCTCTGCAAGGGAAGCAGAGAAAGTCTTATTGTTCCCCACTTCATCAATGAAGAAACCAAAGCCCAGAGAAGTGGGAAGATTTAAGGACACACAGCTTAAAAAAAATGACAGGGCCAGGTTACAAACCCAGGGGTTTAGACTCCAGATGCCACGCTCTTTCCTTGTGTATCTCAAGCCACTCACCAGATGAGCTGACTGGCCCCCAGGCTGACTCCCCTGTGTGGACCTGAATGTTCAGAAAGAGAGGGAACACGTTTAAGTGTTGTTTCCATCAACAGGGCTCAGAATGTAACTGCATAGCTGAGAGCCAGTCTCCGGATTCAGGACAAGATGAGAAGCCTCTGAGGGGTAAGGAAGGAGCACAGGGCTGGACACACAGGGCGGGCAAGAAATCCTTGCAGCTTAGGCACGGGAGTATGGTTCTGAAGACCAGTTTTTACTTAGGATTTTCTGTGGAAAGAAGGGAGAAAGGGAAAACAGCTCTGACACAGTTGATAGGATGCTATACAGAAAAGGGAAAAAAGGCTGGAGTCCAGAAAAGACTTGATGGAGGCACCCCGGGCAGTGAGGGGAGGAGGGAGGGAGCAAGAGGGGCTTGTTGCAGCTGGCAGGTGAGCGGGTGGGCAGGTGGCAGGGGGACAGAAGCCCCAAAGTTGGCATCTATGCTCCTGGTTATCACCCTCGCCTACTGCTCTAGCGTTACTGTCCCTCCCCTTGATTTCTGTGCACCATGGTGCCCCAGGAGATCCCACTTCAGGACCTCTGAACTGCTTCTGGAAATGTTCTTTTTAAAACCAGCACTTATTAATGCCTGTTCATCCTTTGGTGACTTCCCTGACTGCTGTCTACCAATCAGAGGGGCAGACAGCCCAGAGCTACCTCAGCCCACCTCCAAAAAGCAATGAACATTAAATTATGCTAAGCGCACCCAGCCTAGAGACATCTCCTTAACTAGTGAGGTGCTCATGAGGCCCATGGAAGCAGTAAAGACCACACCTTATCTGGTTCTGGATGAAGTCAGCACCCTGAACCTTTCCTTCATAACCTTATTATGGTCTGCAATTATGTATGCAGGTGACTGTTGGGTCAATGTCCTTATGCCACTAAATAGTCGGCTACCTGGGGGCGGGGCTTTGTGTTTGCTGGCCCTGGTATCTGCAGCCTGGTGTGGAACCAGGGGCCTGGAGAGTGCCCAGGGTTTGATGAATGGCTTCTCTCCTTGTTCTGCTGGGGAAAGCCTGGCTGTGCAGCTGACATTTTGCTTTCAACTCACACTATCCTTGGGGCTGGGGTAGGAGGGGTTGGAGGTCATGGCCATATCTAGAGAACTGTTTCCAGGCTACTCAAGGTTGTGTTTTCTTCCTAGCCCAAGGCTCAGAACCCACTGGGTTTGAGGTCCTTCAGTTCTAGGACAGTGGAGCCTGTCACCTGCTGACCAGAGTGCAGTTCGGGCTCTTCTGAGAGGCGCATGCTGGCTGGGTCTGAGTGGTTGTTAGCTCTGACTGTGGAGGACAAAGGAGACTTTGAACCTGTGGGATGTGGGGTGGAGCAGGAGGGGGACCTGGGCACCTGGGAGACCTGTCATTCCCAGTTCAGACACTAAAGGGCACTGTTGCTCCACAGGGCAGAGCCAGGCTGGTGGCCGCCATCACCGTGGAGCAACCAGGACAAGAGGTGACACACCAGCTAAGGTCACTGAGCGCCAACTGTGTGCTAGGCACTTTGAATACTCTACTTCCATAATCACGCAAGAGAGGGATGATGAAATCTCTTTTACAGACGAGGTAGAGAGGATCAGAGATTAAATGACATTTTCAAGGTCTTATGGCTAGTAACCAGCCAAGCCAGATTTCAAACTCAAGTCAGCCTAAATCCACAGTTAGCACCTCACCCTGGGCACTCCCTCAGCCATGGTGCCAGATCTTGTCACGCTTGCCCTCCTAGCAGCCACCTCCCAGGGCTGTTGCCCATAGCATAAGCTTCCCTCACTCAGTTTAGCTAATTTTGACTATCCAAATTAACATAGAGGCTACTGACTTGGGTCTAAAATTTAAAAGTGGGTTATTAAAATGGTTTATTCGAGTCCAGAGACCATTCTTCTGTGTGTGTGGGGAGGAGGAAAGGGACAACAGATGTGCCCTACCAGAACCCTCTCTTCTGGTCTCATTTTGCAGTGCGGCCTCCTCACCCTGCCAGCCCTCACACAGCTGCCTCCGCGCTTCCCTGCAGATGGGATCACATCAGTACCGCCCTTGAGCAGCTCCTGCAGCTCCCAGGAACGTCCCACTCCTTAGCCAGCACCCGAAGCCCCTCATGAGCTGGAACGTGCCATGTCACCTTATTGCCCACGCCTACAACAAACAGCGCACAAACCCGCATGCTCAGCCCCAGCTCCGGCGCACAGCACTCCCTGCCCCTGAGAGCTGCGGGCTCCCCCCCACCCCAGAACCCCACCCCGCGGAGCAGAAGGCTGAAGCTTCCCATCAGGTGGTGTAAGGAGGAGTAACCCCCCGGAGACTGCTGTTGCAGTGCTCACCCACAGGGGGAGCCCACGAATGTTCCTTGTCGTCCCTTCCTCAGCCCCTGGAAATGTTCAAGGACAATACAACCACAAAAGCAGATGCATGTGGTGTAATGCTCCATACAGTGCAATGTTTGTGTAAACATTTCCAGAACAGGCAAATGTCCTCAGGCTGACACCAAGGAACACAGTTCCTGTACTTTTTTTTTTTTTTTCCCGGTGCCCATGGGTGAGCTCCAAGGTGACTCAAACACCATCTGAGGTTAACCTCCTGGAGGACAGGGACAGGGTTGTGAACCCCTGGGTAACCTCCTAGGCCCGGCACAGCACTGGGTCTTCAGCAGTGTCCTTGCTAAGAATGTTAGTCTGTCAATTAATTCTTGACTGGGTGCATGAGCAGCTGTAGGCATGGGCAGGTCATTTCAGGGTAGCATCACCTGAAACAGAAACAGCATTGTTTTAAGAGCCTGGTGAAGCCCAGAAGAAAATGGTACTTTCTTCTTCCTGTTGCAGGAGATGGCTATTTAAAACTACAGGGCATTAGACCCAGAAGGCAATGAGGCCACAAGTGAGCAGTTTGATCTAGCACTCTGGGCTGGTGGGGCTGACGTGCTTAGATGCAGAAATCAGCAGCACCCCTGGTTTGGGCAGTCACGCCTTGGCCCACTCTCTTCTCCTATTTCTCAGTTAAGTCTTATTTTGAAGTCCAAAGAGACAAAGCCTATAGGGGTGTTTCCCCAGCTTCCAGAAAGTCCAAAACAGATGGGTGAGGATCATGGGCCTCAGCCTCTTCCAGGAAAGGCCACCCCGGAGCAGATGAGAAATCAGGATCCGGTTCTCAGCGCAGGCTCTCCTGACTCCAGCCCAATCTCCGTCTCATCCGCAGGGTTCCAGCTTCCCCCCATCCAATGTCACAGGGAACCTACCTACTCTGGGTTGGCATGTCAGGTAAATCTTCTGTCAATATGCATTTGCCTATCCCTGTTCCACAACTAAGGCACCTTTGGTGTCAGCTGGTCTGCCTGCATATGTTCTCATAGCCTCATGTCATCAAATGCCCTTTGAACATTGTAAACATGTTATATACAACTTACTTGTGCCTTCTCAGTAACTGTCTGTTATATG